GTGTCAGATCATTCTAAGTTTCTTTTAAATAAAAAACTGCACTATAATTATTTTTACTGAAAACAGTCAACTACATATTTTTCTTTTTGCAATCATTTTATTGAGGTAAGGCGGGTTTAGAATAAACTTCACTTAGTAAAATGCAAATAAATTTGGACAAATGTATATACCCATGTAACATCAGCACAACCAAGACAGTGGACATCTCTGTCACCCTCCACATTTCTCCAACCCCCTCCCCCTCCTCCCCCTCCTTCACACCCCCTGGCATCCTTTTTGGTCTTGTTTTACAGGACTTCTTTTATTTTGAGATTTGTCCAGGCTGAGGTACATGTCAGGAACTCTCCTTTTTATTGCTAAGGAGTGTCCCATTTTATGAGTAGACCACAGTTTATCTATCCATGCATATCCAAATGGCCATTTGGGTTGTTTCTAGTTTTGGGTTATTACAAATAAACCTGCCGTGGACATTTGTATTTAAATCTGAACACGTTCTCTCATTTCTTTTGGTTGTATGCCTAGGAATGCCCAGGCCATGAGGTAAATGTAAATTTAACATTTTAAGGACTGGCTGGGCATGGTGGTACACAGCTATAATCCCAGCCACTCAGGAAGTAGAGGTAGGAGAATTACAGTTCCAAGACCAGTCTGGGAAAAAATTTAGTAAGACCTTATCTCAAAAACAAACTAAAAGCCAAAGAGGGCTGGAGGCCTGGCTCACTACCAAGTGTGAGGCCCTGAGTTCAAATCCCAGTACTGCAAAATACATACATAAAAATAAACAAATATAAAACAACAGAATGTTATCTGAAGTGGTTGCTCTGCACATTGAACTTGTGTCTCCCACAGTGGTGCAGGGAATCTCCAGTTCCTCACCTACACCTTGCATGGGTCTTTTTCATTTTTGTCATGCTCGTCAGTTGTGGTGGTAAGTCACTGGGCTTTTGATCTGCATGATTAATGATGGGCCCTTCTTTCCATGTGCTGAGTTGCTACTTGTGTGTCTTCTTTGAGTAGTGTCTGTTTTAATTGGATTGTTTGCTTTCTCGTTGAGCCGGGAACATTTTGAGTTTTCTCCCAGGTTTTTTGTCTTTTTATTGTCTAACAATATCTCATGCATTTGCTACTGTAGCTAAGAAATCTTTCCATGACCCAAGCCGCACAATTCTCTTCTGTGTTTTCTGCTGGAAGTTGCATACGCTCAGCTTTTACATTTAGGTCTATCATCTATTTTGAGATAATTCATCCATATACGGTTCAATGTATGGATCAAAATTTATTTTCCAATAGTACCCAATACCATTTGTTGAAAAAAAAAAAAAAGAACTGTCCTTTCTCTACTGAATTTTCTTTGCATCTTGGACAAAAATCAGTTGACCGTATATGTGTGGATCTATTTCTGGAAACTGTCTTGCTCCATTAATCTGTCTATTTTTTTATGTCAGTAACACTTAATTACAAGATTTTCTAATGCCTTATAGAATGTTTTCTCTGGCTGCTTTTATGATTATTTTCTTTACTATTGACTTTCAGCAGTTGGAGTAAGGGGTGTGGTGGGGTGCACACTTGGCATTTATTAAGCTGTTTGCATCTTTTATAGCTTTCATCAAATTTAAAATTTGGGGCCATTATTTCTTCAAATATTCTTTCCTGACATCTTCTTCCAAGGCTAATTATATGTGACCTGTTAATACTACCCTGTAAGTCACTGACAACTCTTCATTGTTCATCTGGTTTTCCTTATACTTCAATTTGGATCTTTCTTTCTTTTTCTCTTCCTTCCTTCCTTCCTCCATCCCTCTCGCCTTCCTTTTCTTTGTCTTCTCTTCTTCTTCTTCTTCTTCTTCTTCTCTTTTCTCTCTCTCTTTCTCTCTCTCTCTCTCTCTCTCTCTCTTCTTGAAGAACAGGTTTGATCACCTTAGGGCCTGTGCTTGCTAGGCAGGTGCTCTACCACTTGAGCCACACCTGCAGTCCCAGTTTGGATATTTTCTATGGGTTTTTTTAATATTCACCAGTCTTTTGTATGTGTGTGTCATTGAATCTCACACATTTCAGTCTGGGTTTTATCTTACTTCATCTCTCCAGCACTTTCATTTTTCTCTCTAAATTCTTAAGCATATTAATAATAACTTCTCTTAATTCCTTGAGTGTCAATTCTGACATATCTGGGAACATTTGTATTCATTTATTTTCCCCTAGTAATGGGAAAAATTCATTTTAAACATGAAAATTTGTCTAGTCATTTGTTTACTGGATGTTGTCATTTTTATGTTGCTGAGTGTTTAATCTGTTTTCTTCCTTTAAAGAATGTTTGGCTTTCTTCTCTTAGTTAAAATACTTGCAGGTCCATTTGATGCTTCTGAAGTTTACTTTTCACTTTTGTTGGTGTTGGTCCTAGGACTGATTTTACACTCGCACTACATCAGCCCTGGTCCTATGGCAGGGCCACTCAGGCTTTCCCCTCAACAAGGTCTCTCCACGGGGGTTGATGAGGACGCAGCAGCCTCCCACAGATCCAGTAGTTGTTCAGAGTTTTGCTCACTTGTAACCTTTATTTTTTTGGACAAGGACTCAAAACATTTCACCTGGCCTGTGCTCAGTCCTCACCCAGACACTCGAGAAAACTCCAGCCTCCCTTTTTTATTACAACCTTCTTACTTTGAATCACATTCTGGGTAATGTCCTTAAATCTGTCCTTCAGGTCACTAATTCTCTCTTCAGCCATTGTGATCAGCTGCATAACCCATCATTTGAGAGTTTTATCTCAATTATTATAATCTTTTTTTTCCTTTTGGTGAACTGGTGTTTGACCTCTAGTTCTTGCACTTGGTAGGCAAGTGTTCCATCATTTGATCCACACCCCAGCCTTTTTTTGCTTTAGTTTATTTTTCAGATAGGATCTTGAGCTTTTTGCTTTGACCAGCCTCTAGCCATGATCCTCTTACCTTCACCTCCTGCATAGCTGGGATTACAGAAGTGCACCTCCACACCTGGCTTTCAATTATTACATTCTTACTACAAGATGTTTTAAGTATTTTTAAAATCTTCTTGGTTATTTGTTTGGCTATTGTTCTTTGAACTTTTGTAATTCCGTTTTTTTATTTTTAGAAAATATTTTGTGCACTTACCTGATTATTTTTTGCTCTGCAAAGCATTATCTACTACCAGAGATGCTTGACGATCTAGACCTATTTGTTTTTCTGCTGATGCACACTGGCATTGAGTCTTAGTGGGAGCCCAGATGTGTGTGGGGATGGATCTGGATGGAGGAGATGCTCCTCTCATAGAGGGCTGGCATTTGCTTCATCTGGGCTTTAGGGGGTGCTACTAACCAGTAACCATTTTAAGGTGAAGGTAGTATGGGTGAGGTTCCTTGCCACAGCAGAGCCGTCTTCTGGCTCCATATTCTCAGGAAAGACCATCATTTTCATGTTTTTGCATGCAGAGGCAGCAGGAATAGACGATCTTGTCAATAAACCTTCTTTTGCAGGTGGTTGACCATCCGACTCAAGGTTTCCATAGTCATAGCCACTCTGGTGTGGACTGAAGATTCCTCTTCTTGTGGTTCTTGGGTATTTCCTGTGAGTTTAGCAGAACATTTTAAGTCTACTGTAAATAATCCCTGAGGGCAGTTCCATTGAGCAATTCTAGTTTTCCATACTGTTGGAATCCCAAAGCCTCTTGAAGATGTCTATTGTTCACTTTATCACATTCTTTATCTAGAATCTTATTTTGAATTAGATTGGAGTCCATTTTCCCCTTTTCAGATGGCTATAGTTATCAGCTATATTTATTTTTAATTCATTCTCTTTCACTGATGTCAGCTACTGTCGTTGTCAAATTCTGGATTTAATCATGGTCCATTTTCTGTCCCACTCACTTATTGGTCCATCTCCATATCAATACATACTGATTGTATTCCAGAGGCTTCTGCGTTGTCCATTGTAGGGCAACAGGTATCTCACTTGAACGTTGTATTTTGTAACCTTCTTGGCTATTCTCCAGGATTGCTTTGCAGGGAACAATTTTACTCATTTTTGCAAGGAGATGGCTCTCGGTGTGCGTAGGCCATTCATAATTGGAAAGAACTGAGAAGCTGCCTGGGGAGGAAGGAGTGTCACCTGACAAGCCTCTGACCCTCTCCAGGGCTGTTTCCTCTACTGAAGGAAGAAATGCCCGCGCTCTGGGCCCTCTTCCTGCTCTGAAGTCCCAGCCCTGGGCTTCCCCAGCAGAGAAGAACCCCCAGGACCCCCACCTGTTTATGTCTTTATTGACCAGATAACAGACATCAATACGGATCAGTACTATGCACTTATCGCCCCCAGCCTCATTTACTTCTCAGACGTCCTTGGGAGATACTATAAATACTGCCTCCATCCTACAGAGAAAGCCTGGGTGACTTATTTACTGACGATGTTGGTTGGTTAGAAAAGAAAACCCGAAACGGAGCGCGGCGCTTTGTGGGCGTGTGAAATGGCCACATTACGTCAGCATCCTTGATCCACGCAGTGATAACAGCTAAGGTGTTTGTTGAGTGCTTCCTATGTTTGTTGAGTACTTCCTATGAATCCCAGAATCCTTCCTATCTCACAGGCACCGTTATTATCCCCACTTAGGAGACAAGATTGAGACCCAGAGCTGAGAGGTCATTCAGCAGACCGTCTTGCTCCAGGGACTCCTGTCCTACGGACAACCTCAAATATTACCATCCACAAAGAGTGCACGAACCCAGGATTGCCTTCGGGTCACCTGCACAGACCAGAAGTTGATACGCAAGCGTGGGAGCATTGCCATTGGAAAGAGGGGGTGCAGCTCGTGTTGAAATATCGTTTAAATTATATTTTGAATTTTCTAATATAAAGGAGGTACACGAAGGGTTAACAGGTGGCTGTTTCTTAATAGCATTCTCGCAGAGCGACTGCTCTGAATTTTCCAACTTTGCCACAGCTGTCGTGCGTCACATATTCCGGTGTGATTCGCAAATAGGAAAAGACGCATAAATGATTCAGAAGAGAAGCCTTCGCCAGCCGGTTCTCTCCTGTCCCTGGGCGCATTTGCGTAACTGCGCTGCAGGTGGAGGAACCCAGGCTCCGGGAGCCTCGGGGGCGGGGCTCCCAGGGGGCGGAGCTCTCGGGGGCGGGGCTTCCCGGCCATCCGCCCCGCCCCCGCCAGGGCCCCGCCCACCCCCGGCTGCGCGCAAAGCCCGGAGCCCGGAGCACGCTGAGCCGCCCGCACCCCCGTCCCGCGCCCGCGACCCGGTCCAGAGCGGTCAGAACCGGCGCCCCAGGACCGCAGCAGGCGACCGCGGCCCGGCCCTGTGGAGGGCACTGCCCACGGGGCGCGGGACGGAGCGGCGGCCCGGGCGGGCGGGCGACATGCAGCGGGACGGCGGCCAGGCTGCGGGTCAGTGGCTGGACTTGCGTCCCCCGCCCCCTCTGTCGCGCGCGTCCTGCTTCCCACAGGTGGAGGGGAGGAGGGGTTCCCCGGGCTGGGGTCGGGTCCCCATATGCAGCCCAGCCCGGCTGTGCAGTCTGGCGCCCTGGGCGGTCCCCAAGGCCCTGGCACGCAACTGGGGCCTGCGCTCCTGGCCAGGTCGGCGCCCCGCGCGTCCCTTGGCGCAGATGCCCGGCGCGCGCCCTGCGCCGCGGTGACCTTCCCCCTAGCCGCCTGGGCCTCCCGCGGTCTGGCGCCGTCCGCGGCCCCGGTGCTGAAACAGGAACCGCGGGCTAGGAGCTGGCCTGCTGTCTGGGTCAGTGCTGGGAACGGGCGGCGACACGAGGGAGGTCACTCTTGTCCTCCTGAGACCAGTGACATTGATGGGGCCCTGTAGGCCCTGCACTCAGCACACCAGTGCTCACCTGTCCTATGTGCCGCCCACATCAGAGGGGACTGTCCCAAATCCAGTGTGAATCCAAAGGCGTTCAGTGTCTGGAACCTGTCCTCAGGCTTCGTTAACGGTGCAAACAGTTGCTGAACCCAGGTGGATAGGTGTCAGCCTTCAGCACCAGCCATGCAGATGTTAGAAAGGTTCAGTTTCTGCTGAGCACTTTCTCCTACGCAGACCCCCATTCAGGCTCTTGAAGGATAATTAAGGGAAACTCACATTTGCTCCTGGCTCCTGTGCCTATGTTGCTGGGTGGTCAAGTGGTGTCAGGCAACTCATGTTTGGGGAAGACCTTGGAGTTGTAAAAACGGCTGTTCTGGGTTTTTACCACCTTCTGGGTGCCAGGCCTGGCAATAACCCAGTTAATCCTCAGTGGTCCCCTCTTAGCAGCCCCCTCTCACAGGTGAGGAAATTGAGGCATGGGCAAATGGTTCCAAAGCTAGACTATTTGAGTCCCAGGTGGGGCCACTGCACTATCCAGCTGGTCTGGAGGCTGACCTGGGCTCAAGGCAGGCAATTCCCTGTCTGGATTGGAGATCTTGGGCAAGTCATAGACCATTCCTGAACCTTGGTTCACCCGTAATTAAAATAAGAGTATGAGGCAAGGCAATCACTGTCTTGCTGCCCCTCTCCCCACCTCCATGGAACTAAGATTTGGTGTTGACTGAGCCTCCTGCAGGCTTCGTCGTCCTTCCCACTGTGATTTCTCCCGTAGCCTCTGCTGGGGCCTTATGTCTGTCTGCCAAATGAATGAGCCCTGCTGCCCAGCTGAGCCAGGGCCCTAGGAACAGCTCCAGGTGGGGAGACTGGTCCCACTGGGGTGATGTGTAAAAGGTCTGACTGTGATCCATTTGATAATCATCTTTCAGAGTCAATCATATGGGTTGACTGTGTGTGAAGCTGAAGGAGAAATGAGGCTGAGCCTCCCAGAGCCTCCAATGCCAGGCTTGGGTATCTGGACTTCATGCCAAAAGGCAGAAGGAGCCAGGGATGGCATTAGCCTAGAGGGAGGTAGTGGAAGTTGCCTGTAGGCCCAGAAACAGGAGTCTCTGGGAGGAAGACCAGTTGTCCACTGCTGGTGAAGGGAAAGTGGCCCAGCCCAGAATCAGGGAATGAGCTGGCCGGTCTGTCTGAATTACGAGCACCTGTGCCTTTTGACCCAGCAGCCTGGTTCCTAGAGAGCTCATCACATGCATGCAGGGCCACGTGTGCAGAGGCCAGGCGTGATGTACCAGGGCAGCTGACTCACTGTCTGTGTGCATGGCGAGAGGTAGAGATTCGGAATGTGCAGATGCAGAAGGGTTCCAAGGCACCCTGTCCTCCAAAGCAGCTGCAGAGGGCATGTGCTCAGTGTGCTAGTGTTTGTAAAGGCACAGATCTGGAAGGGGACAGGGTGAGCTCCCAGAAGAGTTGCCTCTGGGGAGGGCTGTGTGCCAGCACAGAGCCAGTTCTGCCTCCCAGATCCTTCTCAAGTTCTGAGCCGCACTCAGCAGTTATGATTCAAAACTGAAATTCCACAGAAAGAGTAAGCATAGTTTCAGCAATGGGTCCCAAATTTGAACCAAACTTGGCCATGTGGACACAGCAAAGGGGACAGAGGAGGACAGGGCTGGAGCTCTGGGTATCACCTTCTTCCCGGGGAGCCCCAAGGAGATGCAGAGGACCTCTCCTGGCTTCCCTCCTCTTGGAATGCTGCAGCGGGTAGCTGGGCTCTGCTTTGTGGCTTGTTAAGTAAGGGCACGGAGCACTGATGAGTCACCTTTGAGGGTGAAGCCTTCAGAATTGTTACTTCCTGCTCAGCATGAGGAGCCATGAGTGCGTCAGGGATGTGGAGGGTGAGCCCCAAGGGCTGGCAGCCAGGAGATCAGGGTTCAAGACCTTGCCTGGCCCCTTTCCACCTGTGTGGTTCTGGACTGTCACTTGCTTCCCTACACCTCACTCCCCATCTACATGTGGGTTCGTGTGTGTGTACACCTGAGGGGCCTGAGCTATTGGAATGTCCAGTGGCCACCTCCCTCCCTCCTATATGTAGAATGAGGCCATAATCCCTGCCCTGCTTCCTTCCTAGACAAGGGAGAGGGGAGGAAGTAACTTGACCTCAGTCAGCTCTTGACATTTCAAGTGACAGAGAGCTGCACATGCTTCTGGACTGCCAGCTGACATTTACCAAGGCTGGGACTACTTGGAGGACACCATGCATTCATTGGCTCCCTCCTGCTTCCCGAAGGTCACCTCAGGAAGCTTGGGTTGTCTGTGCACTGAGGTCTGCCTTGCTGGTACACAGCAGTCACTCTGCAAACACACCCTGGCTGATGGGCCTTCAGTGGCCTGATAAAGTTGGCCTGGAATTCACCCTGATTTATCAGCAGGGAGACTGAGGTCCCACACGTGACAGGTGCAGCTCACACAGTGCAGCCAGTGCAGGGAGCTGGCTTTAAACCCATCTGCTCCAGGGCCAGAGCCCACACTGAGCCATGATGCTCCACTGGGTTGCGGGCTGAGAGTCAGCTCCCACAACTGTGGGCTTGAGGGGCAGGCCCCAGGCCCCAGGTCCCACTTCCTTGCTGGGGATTGGCTAGTTCCGATGCACAGCCTCCCTGGGCAGAACAGTGCCCAGAAAAGTGGCCATTGGCTCAGGTTTCCTGCATTTGCTGTCTATCACTTGTGGACATTTGAAATGCACAGGTTGCTGGTGGAGAATGGGTGCTGATACTTTGGGGTCCCACCTTATGGGACCGTTTCTTGCTGTTTTAGAACCCACAGACTTCCTCTTCCTGCCTCCCAGTGGGCTGTGTGCACCGCCCCCTGGGAGCTCCGTGCTCCGGATCCACTGCCCAGACCTGGCATCTCTGCCTGTGCAGCATGTCGTGCTGGCTGACCAGGGTCACCCGAAGGAGCAGGACACAGAGGAGCCAAAGGCAAGTGTGGTGCCCAGGGCCTGCCTCTAACAAGAGAAACGACAGCCAGTCATTCGTGCTTTGTGTTCTCCGTGCTCCACGCTCTAGGCGGGGGCATCAGGTGCATCCCCTCTGAACCCTCTCAGCCCTGTGAGGTTTGTATTTTTACCCCCACTTTTCAGTAAGGATGAAACCGAGGCACAGAGGAGCAAAGGAACTAGCCCAGGATCACACAGGATGCTGGCAGAGCCGGATCTGAACTGAGTCTGTCTCCTGAGCCTAATGCTCCAGGAAACTTGGGGCAGCTGGGAAGTGTTCTGAGGAAATGAGCAGCTCTCACTGGGCACTGACCCTGGTGCATTGGCTATTGGTGTGGGAAAGGCAGCTAGCTGTCAAGGACTGGAGGGGAGGGGGGCATCTGGCAGGGCTGTAGAGGCCAAGGATGGGCTCTGGAGGCAGATACGTGGACATGGGAACCCCACATGGCAGTGACACTGTCCAGGACACATCAGCTCTTTATGCCACTTTCCTTCTTGATATAATGAGAGTGACACTGCCTTACTTTTTAAGGATTTCTGCAGACTGACAGCTCTCGCCTATCAGAGTGTCTGGCCATAACAGGGACACAACTGAGTTTTTGTCTTTCTACTTTCTTGTAATAATTTAGGCAAGAGATGACAAAAAAGAAGCAGTAACTGTCTGTGTCAGTTACAATCAGACTCAGCTGCACATAACAAAAGACTCCCCTGGTAATGGTGGCTGAGATGAGATAGATGCTTCTTTCTTTCTCATGTGAAGGACATCTGAAGGTGGGTAGTTCAGGTATGGAGGCGTCTCACTCAGCAGGGGCCCAGACCCCTTCCAGCTCACTGTTCTGCTAATCTTACTTTGCTACCTCATAGTGCAAGGTGGCCGCTGAGCACCACCCCTCGTGTCTTCTTTCTAACCAGCAGGGTGAAAAAAGATATCATTCCTGTCTTTGGGAATATGTTCCAGAAGTTGCATACTATACTTCAATTTGGTCTTATTAGCCGGAACTTAGTCATGTGAGCCACCTGGCTACAAGGGCAGCTAAGAAACATACCTATTCCAGGTGGCTAAGAAATGGCCAGCCTGAAGAAGGGTAGACAACTGGCGGCATGTTTCACAGCCACAGAGAAGTTTGTGCTGTGCTTAGCTCAGGCCCTTGCTCTCAGAGCCTGCGCCAGGTCCAAACTAATGGACACACTTCCCCTTTGTTTTGACCTTCCCTGTGTGACCTTCACAATGAGCCAGCCCATTTTACAGGTAGAATGAAGACAACTACAGAAACACTCAGAAAGGTCTAGTGACTTCCCCAGGAAGCAGGAGCGGAAGGTGATGGAGCAGGATTAGTACATGAGGCTGACTTCCTCTACAGTAGCAACCCTCCCCCGAAAGGGTGTCCTGTGGTCCTGCTCCCCACAGCGTGGGTGAGGGGAAAGCTTGGGTACCTGTGCGCAGAGAGGGCACCGAGGCAGGAGAGGCTGGGGATGTGCTCAGGTTTCACTGCCAAAACATGGAAACACTGGGACTCAGCTCCCCACAGTTGGCCTCCAGGACCCACGCTGTCACCACTGCCCACCACTGTGTCTGGGCAGGTGCCTGGACACCTGGCTGAAGTGAGTGGGACAACAGGCAGAGGGCTACCACTGGTGTCCAGCATTCCTCCGTGAAAACCCGTGAAGGGCCTCTGTGCCAGTGTCTCAGGCTGGAACGGAATGCTAGGGACACAGATTGTTAGGATCTCACAGCTCCCGAGGCTCAAGTCCAACAGCAAGCCGTCAGAATAGTCCAGTTCCGATAAGATCCCTCTTCCGGCTCACTGCCTTCTTGCTGTGTCTTTTCCTGATGGGGAGAGAAAGGAAGAGGGTGGATTTTTTTTTTGTGGTGATGGTGGTGGTACAGGGGTTTGAACTTAAGGCCTCTCACTTGCTAGGCAAGCACTCTACAGCTTGAGACACACCCCCATCCCTTTTTGTTGTAGGTTATTTTTCAGATGGAGTCTGGAGTTTGTACAGGGGCTGGCATGACAGCGATCCTCCTACCTGTTCCTACCTAGCTAAGATTACAGGTGTCTACCACCATGACTGGTTTACTGGTTGAGATGGGATCTTGATAATTTTTTGCCTGGGCTGGCCCCAAATCTCGTGCTCCGAATCTATATTTTCTTTTGTGTAAGGACACAGTCCTACATATGGGATTAATACAGGATTAGGGCCCCACCCTTCTAACCCATTTAACCTTAAGTACAGCCTAACACCCCATCTCCAGATGATTAGGAGCTTGGGGATTCAACAGATGAACCTGTGGGACACAGTCCACGGGCCACAGCACACACCACCGTGTTCACCTAGTTCCTAAGTAAATAACCCGAGTTCTAACTCGGGTGAGAACCACAATATCTAAAGGCAGGAAGCCAGCCCCGCCTGAAATCTGTGCTATGGACGCTCTCTTGTAATACACATCCTAACGTCACACGGTGTGGGGGGAGGGAAGTGCTCGTCTTTGACAGAGTCGTTCTTGTGGGACAGCGAGGACTTAGGTGCTGGGGAACTTGGTTGTAAAACACAGAGCCGTGAGCCATTTCCTAGCAATGAGCAGGAGTCTTGTTCCTAGAGGAATGACATGAGGAGTTACAGAAACTAAAATATTTCTTCTCCCCTTGGGACTTACCCAGGCACCTTGTAGAACCAAAGTTTCTGGTTTTTACTACTGTCCCTCTTCTCTCTTTCTCTCTCTCTCTCTGGAACTGGGGTTGAACTCAGGGCCTTGCACTTGCTAGGCAGGCACTCTGCCACTTGAGCCCCCCCCCGCCCCCCCCAGCCCTTTTTACTTTAGTCATTTTTCCTATGGCGTCTCATGCTTTATGTTCTTAGGGCCAGACTCTGACCTCAATCCTCCTACCTACGCCTCCCGATTCACAGACAGGTGTCACCGTGCTTGGCTGGTTGGTTGAAATGGAGTCTCACTAACTCTTTGCCTGTGCTGGCCTTGAATCTCCATCCTCCCAATCTCTGCTTCCTAAGAAGCTGAATCTGTAGGCACGCACCACTATACCCCACCTATACTTGAGTCTTTTTCCTTCCTGACAAAGACAGGGAAGGAGGACATACATTGAGTGCCTGCTGTATGCCAAGCCCTTTTACAAACAGCTCGTGCATCATCCCCAGGCTGTGTTTTGTCTCTTTGCAGTTGAGCACTGCCAAGATAAAATTGCTGACAGGTCACCTGGGTAGAACTGGGGCTGAGTGTGCTGTTATCCGAGCCCCTGCTGACTCCCAAAGGAGACTGTGTTTGTGAAACACAATCCTATTTCTAAAGCCAAATATCCCATATTCACTGTCTGCTGAGATTTGAGCCTAAAAGGTCTGTGCTGATGGGGAATCCATCAGAATGGAGTTTTTTCTCCTTGGATTTTGCCTATTAGTTGATTCTCTGCTGCAGTGCCGGCTGCACTTGTTTTAAAAGCCAGCCTTTCCTGCTGGGTCGTGTTCCTTTTCAGCTGATGCACTCAAGTGTGTGGCAGCCCTGTCCATGTGGGAACACTCTGCTAATGATGAGCTCGTCTGCCTGGCTCTATTTGGGGCAGAGGCAATTTACTATGAATCCTGCATGGGAGATTCGATGAGAACAAAAAGCTTCTAAGGAAAGCATCCCTTCCTTTGTCTTAGTAACTATGGTTTCTGGGCAAAGTAAGAAAGCACTGAGGAAGGATTTTAATACAAAGGCTGAAACAAAGGGTTGAGGATGGCTGTGAAATCAGAAGCACATCTATTTTGATTTTCTACTTAGACTACTAGAATATGAGCAGTTACAATAAAATCTATTAAAATATTCCCTGCAATTATGCAAAACAGAACTCTTCTCTTCTACAGCAGAGGAGCTGAGTAGGAAAAATGGACAAGGTGGCCATGTGACCAGGGCAAAGGAGATCTAGCCCATGTCCTACTTGACCAGGAAGTTGTAGGGTCCAGTGAAAGCCATGAGTGTGCTCCAGGCTTTGGGCTTGACCAAGTCATGACATCTTTCTGAGTGACTTCTGGTGGCATGGGATGCTAGGTAATATTTGCTTCAAGTTGTAAATGTGAGTCTCACATTTGAGAGCACGTGAAGCCCCCTGGTGACCGTGGACCACGGGAACGGCTGGTTTTAGTACTTGTCAAATGAAAGCATAGCTGGCCCAGGGTGCAGGCGCTGTCCAAGGTGCTGAAAGCCTTGTCCTGTTTTTTTCAAGATCTGACTCCACTACAGCTCAGTCTTTTGTTCAGGAGTGAGAGAGGGAGGACTTCATCCACTGAGCGCCAGCTGTATGTCTGGTACCTGGCGTCCTCAGCAGCATTATCCATTAGCACGTGTGGTCAGCACCCCAGCTCTTTGCTCTGCTAGGCCTGCTCCTTGTCCCTGATGCTGCTCTGGTCACCTCATTAGACAGCTTGGAGACATGGAAGGCAGCACAGTGGAGGCGGAAGTTTTACGGGAACATTCTCATGATTTTCCTCCATTTTTGACACATGAGTGGTTTAGGGAAAATATGAAGCCTCTCCCTGGGAGCAGATGCACTCGGGTCATTGTTCTCTGACCTGGGCCCCTGAAGCCTCCTCCTCATGTCCCATCAGCCTGTTCCATCAGAGCGAGTCACCTGAGGGCAGGGCCTGTGCCTCGTCCAGCCTTCTGGAATCCAAGCATGGCACGGGGTCCCAGCTGCAGTGGGCTCAGTCACTTGGTTGCTGAACCTAGAAATGAATGGATGGAAGGGTGAGCCTGCACCTTGGACTTCCCTTGAGAGCTGGCTTCAGTGGGGGAGGGTCCTGTATACAGTGGCAGCAGCCTGCACTTACTGAGCACTTACTGAGCACTTACTGGGTACCTGGCCCTGCTCTTGGGACTACATTCAGTCCTCAGTACAACCCATGAGGTAGGGATGGCAGTCACCCTCATTCTGTAAGTAGGGACCCTGAGGCATGAGGACATTAATAATTTGCCAAATGCCACAGCAGGTAAGTGAGAGGGCTGACACGGGAACCCAGGGTGAGCACCAGCCAAGCCTAGAGGTCAACCCTCGCCCACTGTGCCCCTGTGCTGAGGCGGGTCCTGCCCACTGGGAACCTAGTGACTTAAACCTTTGGCTGTTTTCTCCATGGTGGCCAATGGCTCTATGCATCCCTAGAGGGAGGAAGATCCTGGCTCCCACACCTGCTGGGTGATGCTAGGCAGCTATTGCATCTCTTCATGCCTCTGTTTCCCCTGCAGGAGAAGGTTACTCCCACTCTGTAGAGTGGCCAAAAGGTTAGTGTGGCACAGAGAGGACCTTGTTGTCATTGTTGGATGCTCTGGTTCACATGTGCTAAGCTTCATTGACCACTTTGACATCTTTCTCCTCGGTTTCTGTTTCAGAAAAGGAAGGGGGGCTGGCCCAAAGGCAAAAAAAGGAAACCCCCGAGGGACCTGTCTGTGCCCCGTGCACCTACAACAGGGTAAGGTGTGGGGCAGTTCCGCTGACCCAGAGAGAATGTCATGTTCGGCACTCACCATGTGACCTGGGCCACAGCCCATCCCGGCTTTTATCTGTTGGCTTAGGTCCTGGATGGTGAGGGGTCCTCATACTACAGAGAATGCAGGGTGAGCTGCTTGGTTCTTAAGCTGCAGTGAGGTCACAGACAGGACAGAGGAGATTTGGGGGCAGCAGTTCTGGTTTCCATTCCAGGCTTGAAGTCACAGGTGCCCTGTGGCCAGGAACAAGCTGGCTGACCTCCATCCAGGCTCGACTCCCTCCCAGTGCCCTGTGACCTTGTCCTTCATCCTCTGCATCTTGTGCCACATAAGAGAGGGCCTGTGCCAGCCACTGGCCACTTCCTCAGGGGCCGGCCCCATTGTCCCTTTTCAATCCTGCATGGTTTTGTCTTTGCATCCGGGTGCACAGTGCTACGGTTAAGGTCTTTCCCTGTATTCCCGTAACTCACGGGAATGGGTCTTCCAGTCTGAAGACTGGCGTGGCCACAGCCTTTCTCTCTCCCTCAGAACAAAGACTTCTTATCAGGAGGGTGGGAGGGCCTGAACCTGGAGCTGCAGGCCTGTGAGCAGGGGGGTGTCGTGTCCCTTTGCAGAGCAGGAAACTGGGTCTCTGGCAGGTTAAGTGACTGCTTGCGGCAGGTTGCACAGGAGTTGGGACATGTGTCATCTCCTGCCCTGTAGGGAGCCTCTCTTCTGGATCCTGGGTCCAGACGGACAGCCAGACAAGTATTTTCCTTAAGTTAGTCTCCATTTTGCTGGTTAAGTTGAAAACTCTGGGAAAAAATCATGACTTTATTTTTGTGAAAAGTGGAAAATAGGCACCCGGAGCTGAGATGTGTGTTCCTTTCTGCACAGGTATGTGATATTCCTGAACGAACAGAGAAGCCAGCTGCGGGCCAAACACCCCGACGTGCCTTTCACAGAAATAACGAAGATGTTGGCTGCTCAGTGGGCACAGCTGTCTCAGGAGAAAAAGCAAGTAAGTCTCCTTCCGCCGTCCTGAGTGGGCAGGGTCCCTGTCTGCAACGTGGCCCCAGCAGCCTGCAGCCTGGCGTGGGCTGAGCTCTCCTATCCGTCCTTCACACTGGAGCCAGAGGGGCCTTTCTGGAATGTTGACTGACCTCCAAGCACTGGTCAGTCCCTGGTGGTCAGGCAGAGTCTCCTAAAGCAGGTCAGGCAGGAAGGCCAATCCGTGAAGCATGGGAAAATTGTTGAATGAGCTTACGAAATTGTGCAACAGATCAATAAATAGCACCTCCCGCAGGACTTTTGTGCACATTACATAGAGTTTTGTTCAGTTAAGGAAAATCCTTGTTGGGCCCCTACCATGTGCCTGGAACTGTTCTAGGTTCTGGTGATACAACCGAGAGCAGGCCACTTGAGGTCCCCGCTGTGTTGGAGTGGGGCTGAGGGCTGAGAGGGAGAAACAGAGACAAGCATACCAGAAGACGCCAGCGTCTCTGAGTGCGAGCTGTAGACGGCACCATTTCTCAAACTATTTCTACCCAGGAGCCCTTCCTTTCCCTTAGACAGCTGCTCATCTCCTACAGAAATATGTACTAGGAGACAAGAGGAGCAAACACTGACTTGGGTGCAGGCAAAGTCCTTTTAGCAAGAAACACATGTCAGCACACAGTGTCCCATATGCTTTCTGCTTGTGTTCGTGCCACTTCCTCTGAGAAGCCCTCCCAGACTACTCTAAGTATGTCTGCGTTTGTCCTGGTATAGCAGTCAGCCTCCAGAGTGTCCCTCCTCTGGGTCGAGCGTAAAGACTCTGAGATATACTTCTTTAAACTTCTGCAATTTTAATCTGTTTGGGTCATTGAGAACTCTTGGTTTAAGTTAACTAGTACAGAGAAATCCTAAGGTAGGGACATCAATTTATAACACCTCTCCCTCCTGCCCTTGTTTGTGACTGGTCAGGAACTACCCAGTAGCCACCAAGAGAGATTGAAGTGCCCGCTGTATTTTTGAAAAGCTGGGTGGGGATGTTTTTGGATCAGAAGCCCAGTGGCTGCTGGCAGTACGCAGAGCTGGATAATTGACCACGTGGGTAAAGCAGACCAGAGCCCTGCTCTGCTGGCCAGCAGATCCCAGGGGATAGGAGGAGGGAGGGGCTCAATGGGCACCTCTGCCTCTGGTTCCCAAACTCACCACCCAGATGAGCCCATCTTCCAGTGGACGGGACAGCAGTACAGGAGTGGCCAGGAGGATAAACTGAGGCAGCTCTCTCCATATAGAAGAAAACAGCACAGGGGATGAGAAGGAGTACCCCAGCATGCACACAAGGCACATATGCACACAGGCGTATGCACCGTGTACACACACAAACACATACGTTAAACAACCCATGGCAAAGCCACTGTAGTTAGAGCTGGGTAAGGGCAGCTGGCCTCTCCCTGCTGCAGTGACTTAAGCCTGACACTGGGAACCTGACCAGCAGAGACAAATGAGAACTGGCTTTGCAGACACACATGGAGATGGCACATGCAAGCAGCGCTCAGGAAGTGAGACATAGAAGTCCAGTACCAGGCTCTGGGGACCTCTGACTACATTCACAATTTCAGAAGTCCTCTCACTCTCCCCTCCTGGGGATCCTCCAAAGCCCAGTCCTAAGCTCTTCCCTAAACCATTGCCAGCCATCTGCTTGGCCAGACTCATGTCCCCACAGGGCTGGGACAGGCCATTGGAAAGAGGGTCCAGGAACCCAAGGAGAGAGGCTGCCAGTGCCACAGTTTCCAGGACCATCCCAATTCAGCTGTGCTTGGAAGGAAATTGTCCTCGGTGGTGTGATTAGCTATATCAAGGGCCAGGTGCATAAAGTAACTTCTGCAATTACCTGGCTGTCCCTGGGTTTGTCAATGACCCCCGCCAGTATTCAAAACACTGGCTTGGGTCCAGCCTCAGTGATTGGAGATGAGTCACAGCCCCTGGCCTCCCAGAGCTGTCCATCTGGACACATGCAGTCCAGAGTGGGTGCCCAGGACCAAGGTTTGCACAGGAGCTGGGGGTGCCAGAAGGTGGCTGACCCAGCCCACGGTGGTCAGAGAAGACTGCAGGGCAGTGCTGTGCTGAAGCAGGTCTGGAAGGAAAAGCAGGATTTGCAGAGGAGCACTGTTACTGGTGGAAGGAGGCAGCAGCAGACAGGATGGGCCACAGGGCAGCTGAGGGACAATCCCAGGGACTGGGATGAAGGCTAAGTTATCTGCTTCAGCAGTGCCATCCTGGCCCCTCTTTGGGGTAAAGCACTGGAGTTGGCAGGAGTGATAAAAGTGTCTCTCAGCAGGCAGCTACAGAGCCCTCTCCACTAGACCACATCCAGCAGACCAGAAGAAAAACCTTCTGCCAAGTCAGCTCAGTCAAACCAGGAATGAACGGGGATGGGGTAGTGTGGTCCCCGTCCCTGGAGGTGGGCAAGCCAATGCTGACTATTGCTTTTTGTCCTTGGGGAGATTGGACAGGAGTCTCAGAATCTCTGTGTCCTTCTCCCAGAGGTACGTTTATGAAGCTGATGAGGACAAACAACGTTACATTCGAGAGCTGCAGGCCTACCAGAGCTCCGAGGCCTATCGTGCCTTCCTGAGGAGGCGGGCGGCCCACAGGGCACTGTGTGGTGAGTGGGGGACACGGGCCTGGGACTCTCGTGGTGTGTCTGCCTCCTCAGCATCCCCACAGGCTGGGTGGCCTTTGATGGATCGTCCTCTTCTCTGACTGAAGATGGAGGCTTCCATCTCTTCAGTCAGCATGGCCAGAGGGCAGTCGGGCAGTGCCGGGCCATGGCAATGTTTTGGGTCTGGGGAAAGGGACAGTCCACGCTTCTCCAACACCAGCTTGCACACAGTCACTCGGGAGCTCACTCACAGGCAGGCTCTGATTGGATAAGGGTCAAGTGGGGCGCGGGAAACTGCATTTCTAACACGTCCCTGGGTAACTCATGCTGGTGGTCTGGGGCCACTCTCTGATGATGCTGGAGCCTTATGTCCCCGCAGTAATTCCCGCCCCCAAACACACCCCCACTGTGTCAGCAGCACCCAGAGGCAGTTCCAGTGGCCCTGCCATGGGCTTTTCCCAGCCTGCCCTGGGAACTGCCAAGCCAAGCATCTGTGGGCCCAATACATGTGGATCAGAGGAGAGACACCAGCTCTCTCTGCCCCATGGTGGGACGAATCTGAGAAGTGTTCCACACGCCCAAGAGGCCCCTACCCTAGCTTCACCCAAAGCAGGCCAGCAAACCTTTCCTATAAAGAGATGGAAGGTAAATATTGTAGGTGCTGTGGGCCACACTGTGTCTGTCACAGCCTCTTAAATCTGTGTCTGTAGCAGGAAAGCAGCCACAGACAATGTGAAAGCCAAGGGGCATGGCTATGTGCCGGTAAAGCTTTATTGACAGAAACATGTAGAGGGTCAAGATGATCCAGAGGCAGCTCCACTCTGGCCCACTGCACTTACTGGATTTCCAGCCAGCACTTGTTCTCAAATGGAGAAAAACCAGCAATTGGAAATCCACTGGTCTATCATACACTCAAACCCACCAAGCATGGTGGACCTCTGATGGCTCTGAGGGGGCTGGGGGGTCTCCGTCCTCCTCATGGATGTCAAGTCTGTGGGTACCAGAGCTGATCAGAGTGGGCCTGAGACCTCGAGCCTCCTCTGAGCGGCCAGGGTGTAGACTCCAGGTGTCCCTGTGAGCAGCTGCCACTCCTCACTCCTACTTTCCTCCCAAAAACCGTTCCTCAGAGCTTCGCAGAGAACCTTCATCGTGCTAATCCTTCATTGTTCTGAGGCCCTGAGGTGGTAAATTGTTGTTCCATGTGAAATCCTAGCACATGACAAGGAAAGGCCCCTTCCACCCAGCTTGGCTTTTAAACAAATAATTATGTTGCTGCCCTACTCAAAACATAATAATTTTAAGAATTGCTGTATAAAAGTTTAATAGTGACAATCACAATATACATTTTTGTAAAATACCACCTACAATCTGTTGTACTAGGAAATGACTCGCTTTCGTGTTTTCTGATCTTTCCATCTTCATGCCGCACCTGGCCAGGTGCTGGGGAGCAGGCGTCAGAGGCACCAGTGTCTCCTGGGCTTATTGGGATTTTTGAGACTTTGGCTGACATTGGGCAGCTGAAGCTGGGTGTTGAGCCTCCAGCAGGCAGCTCCCTCCCCCCAAAGAGGGCACTGGCAGCCAGAGAAGACCCTGGTCCCCTCTTACTCATGCCCCACAGAAGGCAGAGCCTTTTCTGAGACAAACTCTTCTTTAACTGATGTGTTTGTTTCTCCATCAGGACCAGGGACCCCAGGAAGTGAAATTGAGAGCGAGAGCCTTGACCTCTCAGTAATTGATGTAAGTGTTCAGGAGGGGAGAAAAGTAACCATTATTTAAAGAGACAGACTAAAAACAGTCCCTTGCAAAAATCATGTCCTCCTCCTAATCCCTGGAACCTGTGACTGTCACCTCACCTGGCAAAGGGTGGGGAGGTGTCTTTGAGGAAGTGGGTAAGTTAAGGCTATTGAGCTGGAGCAACTGTGCTCACAAGGGTCTTACAAGAGGGACTCGGGGAGCTTGGACACAGAAAAGAAGCCCACGTGACCACCGAGGGAGTGAAGCATGGGTCACTAGAGGGGAGGGCAACACGCTCATTCTCCCGAAGGTCCCCAGAAGGAGCAGTCCCACCCACACTGCATTTTGGCCCAAACTGACCGATTTGGGACTGCTGACCTCCAGAACTGAGTGAGTGAATTTGTGTTGTCTTAGGCTCCCCGTAGGTGGCAGGTGGTCACAGCACCCCGAGACACTCTCGCACTTAACCTCGGGGACCTGTCCTGCTGGAGCTGGACCCAGAGGACTCTCAGACAGGCCTTTCTTTCTGAGTTCGCTAGACAGATGGGCACTAACCCAGCTCAAGTCCAAGTGCTCAGGGCACACAGATGGGCAGGGCAGTCCCAGGTTCCCTGGCAGAGAGAGTCAGATCACACCAATAGATTACAGCAGGACTTTGCTGTCATGAGTCCTGTCCAAGACATCTACCATGATCAGTCTAGAACACTGACACAAACACTCCACAGACACAAGCCCTGATCAGTTGGAGCAGAGAGCTCGACTGTAGGACACATTCTTGTTACTTAGTCATAGAATTCATTTTGGTTTTGGATTTCCAAGCAAACTCTAAAAGTAAGCAAGAGCCAGGATGACTGTGTGCCCCTTCAAACACCCACAGTCTTCAGACCCCACCTGCTATGTCATCTCTGCCATGCACCTGCCATTTCCTGTCCACCGGTTACAGAGTCTTTTTTTTATTGTTTTATTATTCATATGTGCATACAAGGCTTGGGTCATTTCTCCCCTCTGCCCCCACCCAAGCAATTGAATTCCTCAGCTAGGCTCCAAAAGCCTCCATGAGCAAGGGGCTTTACAGAGGGAGAGGGCATGGATGCAGCTGTCTCCTTGAGGCCCTGTGTCCTTTAGCTAGTTCTGTTCAGAGAAGGCAGACCCTGAGCCTCCCACCTGCTCACCTGAGCCCTTCCTGTCCTCAGGCGGACGAGAACAGTGACCTGTACTGCCGCACCTGCAGCCAGTTCTTCAGCTCACTGCACAACAAGAGGGAGCACCTGCTGGGCAGGCAGCACCTGCACAACCTCACAGGTGACGGGGTGGGGCCACCTCTGGAGGACCAGACCCCACATGGGACATGACTCATGGGGGGTAGACCTCACCAGGGACCCGACTCATGGGGGGCAGGCCTCACCAGGGACCTGACTCATGGGGGACAGGCCTTCCATGGGACCTACCTCATGACAGGAGACCTGCCTCCTGAGGGCCAGACCTCACAGGGGACCCAGTTTCACAGAGACTAGGTCTTATAGGGGCCCCAGACTCACAGGTGACCAAGTATCACTGGTGACCTGGCTGCTCAGAGGACCCGCATTACAGGTGACAGCCTCACAGGTGACCTGCCTCTCAGGAAACCCAGCCTCACAGGTGACCCAGTCTCACAGGTGCCTCAGCTGGCAATGTTGTCACTTTACCTGAGCAGAGGGTTTGTCTTGTTATGTCAGTTTAATTTTAGGACAGGATCTACTCAAACTCACCCAATGTCAGGCAGTGTTTAGCAGGGAGAAAGTCTTCCAGGAAACACCATACCAATGGGCTTCTTTTAAGCTTCACTTTTCATCGACAGAACAATTGTACATCTTTCTGGGGTACTCTGTGATGTTTGCATACATGTATACATTGTGTATTGATCAAACTCAAGGTAGGTAGCATATCTGTCACCTTACACATCAATCATTTGTGCTGAGAGCATGCAAAACCCTCTCTTGTAGCTATTTTGACATATACAGAGTATGGTCAGCCTACTATGAAGTAGCATGATAGCTCTCATTCCTCCCATCTACAGTAACTCTGTGCCCACTGACCAAGCTCTCCCCTCTCCCAACTCCTCTGCCCAGTCTCTGGCAACCAACACTCCACTCTCTACTTCTTTGCATCAACTTGCCTCTGACTTAACAAGGCTCCCCAGTTCTGGTCTGTCCACCAACCCATTGGCTCCTAAATTGTTCACTGTGCATGCCTGTCCCAGGTCCACCTCCACCTGGTATCTTACTGCCTGCAGCACCATGCACAGACACAGTGTTCAATTAACTCTCACCTGCCCAGGCAGCTGTCCCCAATAGTCCTGTTCATAGGGGCCGACTGCCAGCCCTGCCCCCCTCTACCTCTGCCCCTGCCTCATTCCTCTTCATCAGTGCATTTCCTTCTAACAGCCTCTTTAATTTGCTCCTTTCTGCCATGGTCTGTCATCTCCTGCCAGAACAGAAACTCCAGAATTCAGGGATGTTTTGCCTGTATAACTCACTGCAGTACAGCAGAGGCCAGAGCCATGCCTAGCATGCCTAGCACTCAGTAGGTGCTCAGTAAGTGATGGATGGATGGTTAGATGGATGGATGGGTGGGTGAATGGGTGTGAGACAGAAAGATAGATGGATGACAAATGGACAAAGTGAGGTATGGTTACATGGATAGATGGATGGATGGTCAGACGGATAGATGGATGGGTAGATGTGTAAGTGGGTAGATGATTGGTCCACTACCATGCGGGTGGATGGATGGATGAATGCATGGGTGGATGGATGGATAATGGATGGATGCATGCATGCATGATGGATGGATGCCTGCATGCATGGATGCATGGATAAATGGATGGGTGGATGATGAGTGGGTGGATGATAGATGGATGAATGGATGAATTTGTTCAACAGGTGACTCTTGAGCACATATATCTTCCAGGAACTAAGCCAGATAGGTGCTACAGTCACAGATGACAGAGGCCTTTCCTAAAGAAAATCAAGGGCCAAGTGTACAAGTTAATATGAGCATCCTGCCTTAAAATGTCTCACATTCAAGTGAAATGAAACTCACAAAACAGAGACCCCCCCACCCAGGTTCAGCTGTATAAAGTCACACATGTGCTCAGAAGCTAGAAAAGAGCCCCGAGGACCTGTGGCAGGTACTGTGCAAGGGGCTACATTGTCTTCTTCTCCCACATATGTCTTAATGTTGATAAGACAGAAATAGCCCCTATTCTACACACTCTTGCTGAGTTTCACAGGGTCAGTTACTTGACCACTCTGTCCTTCTACTGATTTGTCAAATGAGGACAAGCTCGCCTTTATAGGGCTCTTATGATGCAGTGTGTCACGCTCCTCCAAGAAGCTTTGTGACCCACCCAGACCTGGGCTGGAGCCTCCTCAGAGCTCTGCCACACTTGCCCTTTAATTCATAATTACCATCCTCCGTTACTGTCACCACCACCATGCAACCACACACTACACACACCACATGCTAGACACACCACACACATAGTATACAACACACAGTACACAGCACACACATATAACACACATAACATACCCCAGACCCACATTACATACCACACAGGAGCACACAACACACAGACACTGCACATACCCCACAGCACAGACAGCACACACACAGCAAACACACAACACACATATACATGCTAAACATACTATACACACAACACAGAGACTGTGCACACACCCACACAGCACACACTAACACAGTATGCTGCACACAGTAATACATACCATGCACAGGTGCGGATAGCAGGTGCCATGTGGTTCCTTGCACCCCTGCCCATAGGAGGTGACAAGTATCTTCAAGGAGTCACAGGAGGTGCTGTCGAGCTGGCGTCCGGTTCTGGGCAGCCCTGCTCCTCCGAACACACCAGGCAGCAACAGTACAAAAGTGCCTCGTTCCCCACCAGGGTGGATAATGTGTGATCTGGATGTAGTTAGTCCCTATAAGTCACCCACTGGAACAATGAAGGATTCCTCTGAAATCAATGCAGCCAGGACCTGGGGGAGGGTGATGCATTGTGGGTGTACATGTGGCTGGGACCTGGTGTAACTCTCCAGGGCCTTTGCAGTTATTGAGAGGAACAGATGGATGAAACCACCCTTCGTCTTCCCTCTGGGTTGCCTACAGTTTGACGGTACAGTGGGGACCTGCAGAGCTCTTTTGTCTCTGTTTCTGTGGGTCTGCTTTTGCTGGAGAGCAGGGCTGCTGGCAGTGTGGTCCTGACTGGAATGGAGACATGAGCCTCACACCCCTATGGGACTGGAGCATGTGGTGGAGAAGATCTGTCCACCTTATGGTGGCCAGGAAGCACAAAGAGACAGGAAGTAGCTGGGATCCCAAAATCCCCTTCAAGGGTGCAGCCCCAGTGTCAACTTCCTCTCCCTAGGTCCTGCCTTCTGATGGCACCACAGGCTGGGGACCAGACCTTTAATACTTGGGCTTTGGGGGACACGCCAGACCCAAACCCCAGCAGGCAGGAAGGAGATTGCTGGCCACTTTGGGCCACAGTGTGGGAGGATAAGGGGTTCACTGCTAACCCCCCCGCCCCAGACCACACATTGCAAATTGCACATGGGTGGTGTAGCAGGTGAATGACCTCAGCAGAGCTGTTAGAAAAAAAATACCTAGGTGGTGGCCATGCCTGTAATCCCAGTACTCAAGAGGCTGAGGCAGGAGATTGGCAAGTTCAAGGCCAGCCTGGTCTACATAGTGAGACCCCCATCTGAAAAAAACAGAACAACAGCAGCAAAATAGTCAAGGCCCCTCCTCCAGGAAGCATCCCCTGTCATCTCTGGTGGGAGCACTTGGGCTTCTCCATGCACCTGCAGGTGGCTGTCCCTTGTAGCTACTGGCTTCATGCTCTCCGACTGAGCCTCCCCATGGGTATCTTTGCTTTCTAGGGGAATTTGAGAAAGACTCAGCTGAGTACTCGAGGTTCATGGAGCTCCCAGAGGAGGAAGGGCAGCATGTGAATAAAGTGGAGTCCGAGGAGGAGGCTGAGCCCAACGCACGGCTAGGAGGAGGGCTGGTTCGGGAGGAGAGTTTTGCATCCCTGGACGTGTGCTTCTGGGAGGAGTTCATCTGTAAACTGCTGAGAAGTAAGTGATCGGTCCCTTGGTGCCTGGGCCATCTTGGTGACCTGGAGCTGTAGGATCTTAGCATGGTATCTGCATCATAGGTTATTATATTAAGCTGAGCAAAAAAGAAGAAAAGATGAGGGGAAGAAGAACAGGAAAAATAATAACCAAATGAGCAATAACCAAGGATTATCAAGGGGCCAAGAACAGTTGTAAGCACTTTATGCAAATGACATCCTTTGATTCTCCTAAAGTACTTCGAGGTAGGCAACAGTAGCACCTCCTTTTAAAGATGGCACAGAGAGTTGAAGTAAGTTGTTGATGTTGCACAGCTAGTGAGTAGCTGAGCTGAGGTTTACAGCCAGGTGCCTGGCTCCAGCACCTCTGCTTTCACTGCTTTGCAACAAGGCCAACTGTACAAATTACACACAGGAAGCCCATACTCACATGACTGGCAACTATCTCTGGCAGGCAGGATCAGGAGGGTTGGTCTTGTGTTCTTTATCCCTTTCTGCACCTGCCACATTCTGTTCACTTGTGTGCTCAGAGGAGAAACAGTTTGAAAGATTTTCCAGGATGACCTGCATGTATCTGCCTGGATGACATTGCCTGTATCAGTGGCAACAGTGTTACCTCCAGAGAGGTGATGTAACCAGGGCAAGGCTGCACAGCTTGAAAAGTGAGGCTTGGACTAGAAAGACAATGAGGCAGTCTTTTCCCTTCCCTCCCAGTCAAGGAGTTTGAGCTCGGAGAGCTGAGGAGGTCCCTGGAAAGAGCTCAAGTGGAACAGGCAACCCTGCAGAGGCAGCTGATGGAGTTCCAGGTGAGGAGTTGGGTGCAGGAGGGGCTGCTGTTGTCAGGAAGCAAAAGAGGGAGGCTTAAGATGGGTAGGCCCCTTAAAATTATCCTGGAGCTGGGGACCGCCCAGTGGTGAGCACTAGTGTGGGGGGCGCTGAGTCTGACCCCCAGCACCACAGGAAACAAACAAAGCAACCTCTACAGTCCCCAGAGCTGGGGATGTAGTAACCATCTCACCTGCACGTGCAAAGCCCTGGTTCCATCCTCAGCATGCAAAAATAAATAAATCAATAAAAAGCCTCAGCACCACTCCCCACCTCCTGTGTCAGAGGACATTTTTATGGGTCCTTCTAAAAGGCACAGGGTCCCTGGGGTACAGAAGTGTATGCCCTGACCTTCTGTGTCCCATGCTTCTCTCGCACTGTCTCATCCCCGTTGCATGCAGCTCTTGTGTGTCTTTCTAACAGTGGGCTGTACCTGTCACCCATGACAGGCCTGCCCCACCTAGAAGCCCCCACACCGCATGAAGGGTGTGGTGAATATGCTCCCTCACATCCTTGGTGGGGCTGTGTGGCGGACACTCTGGACCGGATGCTCCATGGTGTGGTTCCTAGTCACGGGGAACCCGCGTGCCTCAGTGCGAGTCTGAACACATTTGTGCAGGCTCAGAGCAGGGGTGCCTGTCCTAATGGAAGCAGAGGAGAAAGCAGAGGAAGCCATTTTTAATGTGTTGTCTTATTTTCCTATAAATTAATTTATAATTGTTGAAGGAAAATTTGAAATTTCAGAAAAGTATCTGAAGGTAATTCAAATCCGACATTAGAGAAGCATTGCTAGTGTTTCACTGTAGCATGTGGTAGTCTTGTCTTCAGTAAATACTGGAGTCTGTCCATCTGTAACTGTCTCTATAGATAACCACATCTGTGTGTAGCTAAGTAATACATGTAAATATATCTACGTTTCTATGTAAATAGAGAGATGATGGATGGATGGATGGATGGATGGATGGATGGATGGGTGGATAGATGGATAGATACATAGACACAAATGCATAGGTAGATGCATAAATAGATGGAAAGATACATAGTTACATAGACACATAGATACATAGATAAATGAATGGATAGACAGGGAGACAGATACAAAGACAAACAGAACAGACTAAGCCAGGCAGTTTTGACTCCTGAGTTCTGTTTTCTCTCAAGTGTACACATTTATATGTCTCCAGCATTCTTTCATGACATGCCTCTCAGTCTGCATGATCCTTCAAACATGGATGACGTACAGAGGGCACCCATTTCCCACCTGGGCATCTCGGTTGCATCCAGTTACCCTGTGATAAATACCCAATGCTTAACATTGTCCTCATATCTGCGCTCATCCTTGTGGGCCCTCAGGAGGGCCCCCAGTGCCACATCCAGTGCATCCTTTAAAGACACAGTCCTTTGGAAGTCCATGAGAGGAGGTGGTGTCGCCATGGCTTCTGTGGCTGGAGTCCTGGCTGTCCTTTAGCAGCTGCTATCACCTGGGGAGAGAACCAGCAGGGTCTGTCCATGGGTCATGGGTCATGGTGGTAACTAGTGAGCTGATCCATGGCGGGTACTTGGCAGACCTGGCAGGTGCCCCAGAAGTCACCTTGAATCTTGAGGTGGGAGGGCTGACTGCTCAAGTTCCCCCAATAGGCCCTACATCCAGACTTTTGTGCACCCCAAATTCCCTTTTCCTTTTGTGGAGTTTTGTCCTTCCCCTGCTGAAGAGCACTGACTAAATCAAATAAGAGGAAACACACTGTTATCCAAAGCCAGCCTGCTACAGGTCCCTGAAAACTAGCTATGCCCAGGCTCCTTGTCATTTGTCCCTTACTGATCATGACCATGACCCTGTGAACCAAATATCTCACCTGGCTGAGCTCCCAGAGACCACTCTTTCCTGATCTCTCCTTGCCCAGCCCTGATGTGAGGCCCTGTGGGCAGAAGGGTCTCAGCTCCCTCCCCAGCTGGGGGCTCTGGGCAGGTCACTGAGCCCCTAGGAGCCTCGCTTCCCCAGCCTGTGAAGCCAGGCAGGGATGCCTCCCAGAGCTGGGGAGGGCCCAGCAGGAAGTGGCAAGATTCATACTGGGGACCCAGGGGATGGTTACTCTGCCTCCTGGGCCTGTGTGCCCTGCACGTCATCTTTCTTGACTTACTTGTTAACTTCTGCACTTACTTATTATACTCCTTACATATTCATTTGCTTGCCTGCTTGGTGTTACGCCACTCACATAGCACTTACTTGCACATGTGCGTGTCTATTTGCTTACCCATCTGTGTTCTTATTCACCCATCTGCTTGCCTACCATTCCTGCACCCTGAGTGTTGCTTTGACAGAGGCCCAAGGCCCAGTGGCTGCGTATCTCACCGCCCTTTCAGAAGCAGCAGCAGAGGCTGGAGGTGGAGCTGGCGGGCCTTAGGACCTACGGGATGGCCCTGGAGAAGGAGCTGGAGAACCTTAACATGCTGCTGATGCTGTCCCACTTTGGCCTGCAGGTGATGGACGCAGGTAAGCCAAGCTGGGCTTTCCCCTCCCCCCTGCCCCCTCGGTCCTCATTGGTCCATGAAACCCGGGCCCTGGAGACTCCTGACACCCACTCACTACTTCATGCATGTGTTCACTCTTCTTATCACTCAGCAAACATTCCTGCATGGCCAGGGCATCCTGGCTTGCTCTGGGTGCTGGGGGATGTGGCCATGGATGACATTAGTCCTTTCTAACCCAGCACCCATAGATGCTGGGCCCCAAGATGGGTACTGGGCTGGGGATACAAAGACAAAGGGCCCCCCCATCCCGGTCACAATCTCTAGGCAGGGAGACAGATCCTGGGTCCTAACCTTGGCCACTCTGGGAAGCAGGTAGAGGGTGCTGGGAGAGGCTGACTGTCGTCCAGGGTGTTTATGTGAGTGTCCTTCCTGGGGCCGGCCTGGTTCCTAGATGGTATGCTGTGAAAGAAAGCTGCTCTCAGAAGCACTTACTCTGATAAATGCACCTGCTTTGAGTATAGTCCAGAAAGTGCCAAGCTTCTGGGCATGCCCTGGCCAATCACCAACCCAGTTTGTTCCATCCAGAAGGTGTTTTCTGGCACTTCTGCATGCCAAGGCCTGGCCTAGGTGTGAGAGGGGACCTTTCATTGACCTCACAGAGCTCCAAGGGGTGGTATTCCAGGTAACGCAGGGAGCTACTGGCCTGATGGAGCAATCCCTGGAAAACACACCAGTGTCGCCTTCTGCTTGGGCAAAGACGGGAGGAGTAGGGGCTCCCGTCCTGCAGAGGGAGCTCTGCACTCCGTGTCCAGGCCCAGTGCATCACAGGTGTCAGGAGTGGACAAACAAAGTGCATATGTGCCCTGTGCCCAGCAATAAGCTCCTCTGCCCCCCCCACCTCACTCCCCACTCTGCAGTGTGAAGACCAGTCCCAGCCCTGTGCCATGGGACCTGGCCATCACCCAGACACCCAGGTGGAGAAAAGTTGGGAGGTCTTGAAGCTTCGCAGAGGGACAATCGGATGGCTGTACTAACAGAGGAGGAAATAAACCATGTGTGCACACACGTGAGTGCATGTTCAAGCAATGGACTCCACCTGCGTCTGTGTCTGGCTCAGCAGAATGTTTGTCCAGGGAATGTTCTTCCTTGACTACAGATTGGAAGACCTGAGAACAGTGTTGTCTTTCCACACTGGCCCCCTGGTAGAGCATGACATACACCTACTCAAAGAGTACCCGGGTGCCAGGTAGCCACAGGCAGGCTTGACCTTGACCTCTGGGGCCCTTGTCACCCGTCTCTTGGGTCATGTTTCTGTTTTCTCCACTGACTTATAAGGATAATCATTGATTTTTGTGGCTCAAGGATGAGTGAAGATGCAGTAAACTGATCAACTGGTCTGGGCTAGGGCCCCCTAGATGCTAACCTGGAGATCAGGATTTGCAGATGAGTAGGTTTTGTGGGATCTGATCCCAGGTAAGGGAGTGAGGAAGAGAGGCAGAAAGAGAAGATGGCCATGAAATGTCAGGAATCCAAGCAACTAGAGCTCCCAGAAAACTGGGTGCCAACACAGGACATGCAACTGTGTGGCCCACCAGATGGCGAGGGACTGAGGAAGGCCAGGGTGTTCACTCACCAACTTCCTTCAGGCTCTGCTGGAAGAGAGCTGCCAAGAGGGCTCATTTCTACCCTTCCAGCCTGCTGTGCGTGTGGCAGAGTGAGACAGAAGGCCAGGAGGGTCCTGCAGGAAATGTACTGAATGCCACTGTCGGTGGTCAGCCAAGGTGCACTGGGGGCCCTGAGGGTGAGGGTGGGGTGCCAACAGCATCTGTATTTGCTACATGTCCTGTAAATGGGCATGTAGCTATGAATTAAAGGAGGGATGTCATCATGGTCCCTGTGCAGTACAAGGATGTAAATACCAGGTCTGGGCTGACTGCCTGCAGCAGAGGCCTGGTCACAGCAGCCTCCCCACAGAAGGAAAAGTCCAGTGGTGAGCAATGCAGTCTACAGGGGCCCAGGCACCTGCTCTCTTTCCACGCAGTTTCTTCTAGCATGGCATTGTGTTGATACCCATGGCACCACACAGCTGCCTGACATCCAGCATTGCTTCTGCACTCCAGGCAGGAAGGAGGCAAGGAGATGGACACAAGGCCTGTGCCAGCTGCTCTGCCTCCTGTAAAGAGCCAACCAGCACCTCCAATGCATCTCAAGGACCAAAATGGCAGCACTTGGCCATATCCAGCTGCAAGAGAGGCTGGGAAATGTAGTTTTGACTGAAAATGTGGCTGCCCAAAATAAAACTAGGGTTGGGTTAGAGAAGAAGGGATCAGAAAAGTATTGGGAGGACAGAGAGCAGTCAGCCACCATGAACACAGTTTAAGCAGGAGGAACCAGCTTGCTCTGACCCCCAGCCAGGGTAGTCTGGCTGGCTCTGGCCTTGTGAAGCTCTGTCCTCGTGCCAGCTGATAAGGGCTACACTGGTTTTCAAGGCCTGCCTGGTTCTGTACACCTCACTTCATTGCATGCATGTAGCACCTGAACCACTCACAGATGGGGAGAGATTCCTTGCTGGGGAGGCCATTGGCAAGAGGCAGGGTTCATTTCCATTAAAGTGGTATGTGACAGAAATTCCAGCTGGGTGCTCTAACCTTGGGGACCGCAGGGCTATTAGCCCCTTGCAGGAGGGGGGACGTCTTTCTGTGTCCAGCCCAACTCAGCCTCTCCTTTCTTGCATCTGCCCTGCTCCCTGAACCTCCTTCCACTGACCCCTTCCTGTGGTCCCTGCATCAGCCATTGTTCACCTCCCCTCTAGCCTGGATGCTCCTCCAGAGGCAGGTCCTGTGCATGCCCAGCCACCTTGGTGAACATGTCCATGTGTGACCATGAATAAAACAAATAAGAGTACAAGACACCAACCACATCTGAATTTCAGATAAATAATACATTTTATATAAGTATATCCCATGCCGTATTTGGGATATACTTGGATTAAAAAGCTCTCCACCGTTCCT